CACACACACACACACACACACACACACACACACCACTTTGCTAGCTGGATACCCTAAACACTCCATACTTGTGAAGTAAATATTTTAAACTGCTCAAATAAAAAGATACAAAGACTCAAACCACAATTCCAAATGGAGTTCATTTCTTCTGCACAGGTCAAGACAGTGATGCTTCCCTCCCCTCCATTGGTAATCTCATGCTCTGAGACTCCATGACTGTTAGATTTGGGACCTGGGTTCCCCTTGCAACACTGCCTTTTCCTAATTGAATGCCAACCTTTCTTATGTTCCTTAAAACACTTCTAACTTTAAGCTGTTGCAAGTACCAGAATTTCAGGGAAACTTTGAGAGGTACAGAGATAGTTGAGGGAGGAGTGCTTGCTACACTTCCAGAAGACCCAAGTTCAGTTTCCAGCAGCTATGTATGCATCTCACAACTTCCTGTAAAACCAGCTCCAAGGGATCTGACACTCCTCTTCTGTCCTTCATGGGTAACTATATACACACCACACATGAGCGTGTGCAAGCGCGAGTGCGCGCGCGCACACACACACACACACACACACACACACACACACACACTCGTGCACTCACACATACACACTTAAATTTAAAAAATTAAAATACATCTTTTTTTTAAGGAAAGTTAAAGAAGGATTTTAGAAAAGCCGAGAGACAGTCACTGCTATCCTCAAATTCACTGACAGTCTTCACCAAAAGAACAGTCCATGTGCTCCATGTCTCTGCTTCCTCCTGAGCACCCCTGCACTGGTGTCTCACACCTTTCACTTTCCAATGGTCTCCTTTAGGCTCTCCAGGTACCTGCAGGGTTATCACTTAGTACCCAGAGTCATTCGCTTCTCTCCATGTTTTCTACTTTCAGACCAAAAACACTCATCCAAGTGATTTTTTTTTTCTAAGCAAAACTTGTTTGCTTAACATGGGTTTATAACATACCAAGGGAGGAGGAAATAGAAATGACTGTAGTAGATTTTTGTTTAATGTTCTTTTTAAACTATATACTTAACAGAGAGAGTTGGAGCAGGGAATGGGAGAGAGGGAGAGAGACAGAGAGACAGAGAGGGAGAGAGGCAGAGAGACAGAGGGGGAGAGACAGAGAGACAAATAGTCATAGAGAATGATCACACTGAAATATTCTAGAAGAACAACACTGCCTGATGATATGCTCCCATGCTCTCGCTCTTACTACTCACTCATTCCCCTTACAGCAGGGTGATTTTAAGAATCATAACACAATACTTCCCTGCTTGAAATTCTTTGGAGGCTTTAGTTAAGCCAAACGCCTTCCCTGGACACCACAGACCAGGCCCTGACTGTTATTGTTTTGTTTAAAAAGAAGAAAAGAGAAATTGCTGAGACAGACATAAGACTGCAAGTTTATTATAAGGCCCGGCAGAATGGGGAGACTAAGAAGAGGAACAGGGCAAATGGCTGACCGCCATGGCCGGTCGCCATAGAGAGACAGAGGGGGAAACAGAGAGAGCGGGAACAGAGAAACAGAGAAACAGAGAGACAGAGAGCGTAAAGGGGCAGGGACTTATCTTTTAAAGGGGTCCTCTGCACCTGTGTGCAGACTTAGTTCCCATGGAACCTTGGGCTGACCAGGGTACTGCCTGTTTCACCAGGTAACAGGGGCAGGCCAGCATAATGCCTGAACCTTTCACTGACCTTCCTGTATGACCCCCGCTCCTGCTCACATTGCTCTACATGCACTAATGTGGTGAACATTCAACTCTCCCCTCCAGGACTTCAGCACTTGCTTAGCACTCTTTATGAGTCTGGCTTCTTTTTTGGCCAGACTCCTCAGAAGACCTTGGAAGCATACTGTCTGAAGCTGTGATCAAAGTTATTCTCCATTGAGATGAAAATAACAACTTTAATGCTAAAATCCATACCAGTCCCTTTAGTAGAAGTAAAGTTCTACCTCTGGATTAATCCCATGTGCCCACGGTTACTTCCCATTGTCTTCATTAAAAATGGTTGTCCTTCTACAACATCAGTTCGTTTTCTGACAAATTCTAGACATGTTATAATAGTAATAGTAAAAACCAACTGTGTTTGCTTTTCTTATTCGTACCTAAATAGACTCAATTCTAACTTCAATGAAGTCTGTAGCATGAATTTTATGTTCTGCCTCCACTCCTAGATCTCCTTCAGGAGCCCACCCTTAGTTTTCATTTTCATGCTGTTTCTATTCATTTCCTTTTTGCTCTGAGCCTTGTAAGCTTGCTTATATCCTCTTTGAAGGAAGGCTGAATATCTTCCAAGAGTTGAAATACAAATTAAATACCACACCAAACACAGTTCTTCCTGAACTTCCCGGTGTCCATGGTCACAAAACTGGTAGTAAGCTGATAAAGAAGGAGCAGAAAGATGAGGTTTCCTGATCCAAGAGCCTCAGGGTCAGGCTCTCCCCATTAATAAACATCCAGCAGTTTTCAGCCTTCCATACCCAAACACATTCCCAAACTGAGTCATCTTGCCTTCATTATCTTACCATTGACCCCCATGCTGTTACCCTGAATTCTTTTAGATGGACTATGTCCCTCTTTGTCATAGTTTTGGGTCCAAGTCTGGGCAGTGACCATATGGGTACCAATTCCAGTGAATCCTATAGACCAGCCACTCACATTCTAACTGTGCCAGCCCCACATATTATGTATAGTGTTGAAGTTAAGTTTGTGTTAAGTATAGACACGTATCCCCAAGTAGACAATCTTAAGGGAAGATACCTGATGGTAACTTCTTTTGAGTCTCTTGAGGATGTCACAATGATGGGGCCATTGTAGTTTTTTATAGAGTGCTTCCTACTATCATACATTCCCGATTTCAGTGTTCCTGTAATAGTTCAACAAAAGTATCAATATTAGCCAAGATTAGAAGAGAAAGGGAAGCTTCTGGTCCAATGTAATCTCAGTTGGTCTGTAGAGAAGGCTCACCATGAGACCAGAAAAGACACATGGAACTGAGCACACTTAAGAGAGAGGAAGCCATGGGTGGTGAGGAAGAAGGTTATCTCTCCCAAGTAGGGGCATTTTTAGCCTCAAAAAAGGAAAACTGGAAATCCAAGAAGAACAGCAAAAGCCATTGGCTATAAATGTGGAGCAGGCAGAAGGAAAAAGAAGAAAATAGCATTTGCTACTCACCAGTGCCAGACAACATGCCGAATGCTTTATATATCCCAAGGGCAGGAAACTAACCATTTCCTGAAGTACAGTTGTCCATAAACTATAGAACTGAGAACCGAGGTCCAGTCTACTTAACAAGGAGGCTTCACATTCATAAATACATATAAAGAAGGGTTCAGATAGTGATATGAACAGAAAGAAAGAAATGCCTCTTGATAGAAGGACATTTAAAGAAAGGAGCGAGAGTCAAGACAGAAAAATTCTCAGGCTGAAAGATTAGGAGAGATGCAGCATTAGCCTGGATGCAGGCTTCTCAGAAGACACTGGACACCCCCATAGCATACATGTTAGTCAACAATGTTTTTAAGTACAGATATTTTCCCCAGTCTGAGAAATAATTCACCTTGAGTTCTCATACTTACAAGAACTTTTTGTGTGTTTTTGATACAGAGTCTCACTGTATAGCTCTGGCTGATCTGGAAATTACTATATAGAGCAGGCTAGCCTCAAATGCAGAGATTTGTCTGCCTCTGCCTCTTCAGTGCTGGGACTAACAATGAATGCTAACAAGACTGAAAATGTAATTTCAAGTTTCCTTGTTTTCTTCTTATGCTATATAGTATAGTATTGGAACATTACTATAGTAACATTAATATAGGAAAGGAATATTCCCAGGAAGGAAGAAAACACACACACAACACATCTCATTTTTAAAGGATGATCCATTAGAAGAATGGAAAGATAAGCCATAGACAGGAAGAAAATATATGCAAAAGCAAGAATATGATGAACGAATCACATTCAAAATACATTTCTGCCCCCACAAACTTCAACAATAAAAAACAATCCAAAATGTTAAATAGGTGAACTATCTGAACAGATGCTTTACCCAAGTACAGATGACAAATACATGAAAAGATGTTGATTATCATGTTGTTCGAGAACTGAAGTTGCAATGAGCTAGTGCTGCACACTAATTACATAGGGAAAGTCCATTAAGTAGATAACATCAAAAGCTGATGAACATGTGAGGCAACAACAAGTTTTATTCTTAGCTTATGAAATGAAAAAGGACATAGATACTTTAGAAGACAGCTTAGAATATCTCAATAAGTCCCAGATACTCATATACCACAATCCAGCAATTGGTTACCCAAATAAACTGAAATCTTATGTCCACACAAAAAGAATTGTACATGCCTGTTTATAAATCTCATTCAAAATGGGAAGGAATCAAGGTGTCTTGCCATGTGTGACTAGAAAAAGAAACTACAGTATGTTTATGAAGTAGAAAGCTTGTTAGTAATGAAAAGCGATGAACTATTAAGTCTCATGGCTTTTTCATGAGAAAAGGAAGGTTACATGCACATTGCTCAGTGGGAAAAGTCTATTTGAAAAGACTAAAATGGTCTGATTCTAGTTATATGATATTCTAGAGAAGGCAAAACTACAGTTAGTGACAAGACAGTGGGTACCAGAAGTTCAGGAAAGACAAAGGGATGACTAGGTGGGCCAGCTCAGGGGAATTTCAGTATGGTACAATCACTCTGCATGATACTATAGCATTAAGTATATGACATTGTGCATTTCTCAAAAGCCATAAGAATCTATAACAAAACTGCAGTGTTTTGTCACACATATTAGTTCACTAGTTATAGTAAATATCTCACAACAAAGCAAGACATCATTGATAACAAGAGGGACTGTGTATGGTGAGTGGTAGAGAAAGAATAACATACATACACTTTCTCAATTTTTCTATAAACCTAAGACTTAAAAAAAGTAGAGTGGGTTAATTTTAAAAGTATTATGCCAAAGTAAATCTTTCTATCCAGCTCAGTAACTAGTCATCTGAGACTATAGACATGTGTATATTTAGTTAAGATATAATTACATCATGTCCCTTTCCCCCGCATACATCTCCCATGTCCTCCTCTTCTAGTCCCTCCCATGAACCCCCATAATCCCTCTCAAATTCATGACTCTTTTTCTATGATTACTATTGTTTTTAATATGTATAAATGCATAGCTATATAAATACAACCTGCCTTGTCTCTTTTGCTGAACCTCAGCCAAGTTTAATTTCTCTTTGTCCTGAGGCCATCCTTCACTCTTAAAAATTCTGCTTATGACAAATGCATCCTTTTCATATTTATTTAGTCTCTTAATAACTTTTTGCTAATTCTAAGTTAGAGTAAATTTAATTTCAGTGGCATGAGCTTTTTAAGGGCATAATCATGAGAACAAACGGTGTTCTTACTAAAGACGTTAAAAAAAAAAAAAAGCACTGCCTTCTGAAAATACTCATTTCCTTTTGCCCTTACTCAGAAAAGCTCTCATTAAGCTCCAGGAAGTAGTGGCAGCACCCAAAGGAGAATAAGTAAATGCCTAGTGATTACATAGCTCCCACCAGAAATTCGATTCATCTGAGTCAAATGTCTATTACCCAGCCCAAGTCACACACAAAGAAATTGCGTATAATGTCCGTGTTGGAGTATCACCATTTGCTCATTATGACTTTATGTGGTTTCGTGAAAGGAGAGGGACAGTCATTGTGTTACAGTGTTTGCAGAAACAGGAAAGGAAGAAGAGGAAGCAATTGAACCCCTGGAAAGCTACACATCAAGTGCAGAGGGACCGGCGGGGCCAGCGGGATATTGGGGAAATTCCTCCAAGTCTGAAAAGCAAACAACTGAGATGACAAAGTACTGTAGTGCATTCAAATCAGCTGGAGCAGGAATGAAATAGCTGGACAATGAGCTGTGTACTCCTTGACTAGTGCTGGTGGTCTTTGTCCTGTGTAAAAGTGCTGAAGACAGAAACTGCAACTCAACTTTTCAATGAGAGGCAAGACATGGCCATTTGAACAGAGACACTCAAACCTCTCCCAGAATGGTCACCCGTTCCAGAAGGCCCCAGAAAGATGGATTCTTGTTTAGAGTGAAGAGAATGACTAGGCAAAGTGGCTCAGCACTTGGGAGGCAGGGGTAGAAGGGTGGCTACAAGGTCAAAGCAAGTCTGGTCAACAAAGAGCTTCAGTTCAGGCCAGCGAGCTACATAGTGAAACCCTGGAAAGAAAGGGGGGGAGACAGAGAGAGGGGGAAGAAAGAGAGAGGAAGAGAGAAAATGAAGAGACTTGTGGGAGGGAGGGAGGAAGGGAGTGAGGGAAGGAGGAGGGAGAAGAGAATGAAGGAAACAAGGGATAAAAGGTAAACAGCCTTATCAGAATCCTTTTGCTTTGCTTTTAGTTCCCAAGAACCAGAATATACTGTGAACAATCTGTTCTGTCACAGCTCCTATGTGCACATGCTGCTCCTCTAGGGAACTCTCTCTAGCATAGCTTTACAAGGCTGGAACTCACTGGATGCCCATGTCTTGCTTGGCATCTTCTCGCAAGTCCTCCTGTTTGTTTTGGAATAAACAGGTGTAGAGGACTATAATGGTGGAAGGAAATAACCAGCTCACTCAAGTTGTACAGTGACCTCCACACTGAAGCTGCAACACAAGGCTGTCCCCACCACACACACACACGCACACGCACACGCACACGCACACACACACACACACACACACACACACACACACACACACGCACACACGCACACGCACGCACAGTGTAAAAAAAAGAACAGCAAGAAAATAAATTTAAACTAAAACTTAATTCATATCCATTTTCACTGAATATATTTTATTTGGGGACACACAATGGGCTTTTAAAACTTACAGGTTTTGGACTAGTAAGCTGGTTTAATTGGTAAAGGCATTTGCTTGCCACACCTGACCACCTGAGTTTGATGTCTGGGACCCACACAGTGGAAGGGAGATATAATTCCTTCAAATTGTCCTCCACCCTCCATACCTGATAGGCAAACACATAAACACACACACACACACACACACACACACACACACACACACACACACACACACACACACCAAATATAATAAAAAATTAAAACTTCCATTGTAGTTAATAAAATTAATTCCATTAATTAATTTAATTAATTCCATTAATTCCATATCCAGGAATGCATGAATTTCTTCAGTAAGAAATCAATTAACCCAAACACACTTTGTGGTTAAACTATAGTAATCCACTTTCCACCTTCAGTTTTATTTCTGTGATGGCTCTAGCATTCAGGACTATAAAATGAGTCAATGGTCACTTTCTTCAGATTGTCCATCAGACCCTCCATAATCGCATATGTGAACATATATACAGGAATAGATAGCTGGGGAGACTTACTTGAACCAGCTTTGATACCCTAAAAGTTTTATTTTGTCATTTGACTCATTTTCGAAAAAGTGTAATTTCTCCAAAATGGAATTAACGGCTCTGTTCATTTGTACGCTAATGAATGGGCATTTACCACAAGTGAGCTTGAGAAGAACGCTACCAGGTAGGTATGTGAGAAGCTGGGGTAGGTATGGACCCCACTGGCATAGCACCAGTGGGGGTCATCCCACACCCACACACCTTTTAACACTCTGTTCAACAGTCTGAAAATCCCACAGGGCTTTCAACCTCCGATACAGCCTGATCCTGTTAGAGGTGAGTTTACTGGCAGCACCCAGGGCAAAAAGCGCAGAGTCCGTGTGGGAGTGAAGGGAATTAACAAGAGTGATTAGAGTTTTATGGGGAGGGCTGAGTAGCCGAAGCTGTGGTTTAACTACCAATTTCAGATCTGAATTGTTGCCCCCACTGAGAAC